GARCSWTTGCGTAGTTTRTTYTTAGGMGAATGYCATGACGCAACTGKRCACTTTGGSTACAAGAAGACGAGTGCTAACCTAGTACAACGATTTTGGTGGCCAGGAATGTTTGATGACGCAAAGAAGTATGTAGAGACCTGTCAGGTCTGTCAGTGGGACAAGCCGCGAACTCAAGCACCGCTTGGGTTGTTGAAGCCTTTGCTTATTCCTGCTGGTCCAGGACAGAGTGTTTCCATGGATTTCATGGACACCCTGGTGACTAGTAAGAGTGGCAAGAGGCACATCTTCGTCATCATCGATCGATTTGACCGCAAGAACTGACTATGTCATCAAGTTGTTCAAGGACAACTGAGTGCGTGACTTTGGTTTACCAAAGTCAATCATTAGTGACCGAGATGTACGATTCACAAGTGAGTTGTGGAAGAAGACTGCAGAACAGATGGGCAGTCAACTTCAGATGACTTCAGGGAATCATCCTGAAGCCAACGGACAAGCTGAGCAAATGAACAGAGTTGTACAGCACTTGCTGATGCATTACATCAAGCCCAACCACGATGACTGGGATGAGCAATTGCCTCTCATCGCCAGCTTGTACAACAATGCTGTCCACAGCAGTACCGACGTTAGTCCTAATCAACTTCACTTGGGATGGAAGCCTAGATCAGCATTAGACTTCCTCCTACCTGAAAACCGACCCGCTGCAATTCCAGGCACACTTGAGTATGGTGTGCAACATGAGAAGTTGCTGCAAGATGCTGTCGAGCACATGAAGAAAGCTCAGCAAGCAATGATTGCTTCTGAGAATCAACACCGTAGACAGTCCACATTTCAGGTAGGGGAATGTGTCTGGGTCAAGGCTAGTGAGTTAGGACAGGAGTTCGGAATCTCTCGCAAACTAATGCCTCAGTACTTTGGTCCCTGGGAAGTCCTGGATATAGTGGGAGATGAGATGGATGGTCCCACATTTGTCATTCGTGTCCCAGGACACTTACGCACTCACCCAGTCTTTCATGCCTCAAAGCTTGCACCTTTCGCTGAGACAGATCAATTCCCTTCCAGGAGATCGATGCTGCCCCCAACCATGGATGGTCAAGTGGACATCGACGACATTGTGGATCACAAAGATCTGCCTTTCAGAAGCCAATGGGTAGAGGAAGACCTCCTAAACCCAATGTAGCTCTCTCTCATGAATGGCGCCAGGCGCCCTATCTACTCTACAAGCTAAGCCTACAACTACAGCAATGAAAGCAACCGGACCACTTGACTACCAGCGAGTGATGATGTCAACACCAATGCTGACCTCCACCTCCACCGGGTACGTGTCCTCTTCACCCACACTCTCCCTTGTACCCACACAGCGCCCTTCACCTCCGAAGAACCACCTTCGCCCTTCACCTCTCCTGCACCCTCATGCGGCCCGGCTATGGCCGCCAGTGCCTTGCATGGAGGCAGCGCCCTACTGCCTAGCGCTAGCCTGCTTCACCTTAGCGCCATGCAGCTCTGCACAGCGCAGCACACATGCATTCGCGCAGCGTGCCCGCAATGCCCACATTGGCCAAGATCCCTGCCCACTCGCCCTGCTTGCCTATATGCCAGTGCTGCGTGTGGGCGGCCTCCCTTTAGCCTGCCACTGGGCCCCAGAGGCTGAAACCAGCCCGATACAGTTGGGCCCCGAGGCAATGCAGTTGCGCCTCTTTCATCAAGGCCTGCGTCCAGATTCAGATAGTGGGCCGATTTCCCTTTGGCATTTTCGGCCTCTATACCCAGCATGCATTGTCGGCCTCACGTTCAAGTGCCCAGGGCCTAACTAACTCAGAGGCCCTGGGTTTTCAGCATTTGCTGAAATCCGAGACTCGGTGCACTCCAACCAACTGGCGTGCTGCAACTGTATGGACCCCACTTCGTGAAATGTTGGCACAGAGGGCTCTTGTTGATTTGCTGGCCCGCCTTCACTTAGGACGGGCACGAGGCTTGCTTGGGCCTTAGCCCAGAACATGTACATCATGGCAAGGCCCCTTCTTGAGGGCTCAATCCTCACACTAGCTCACATGATCCAAATAATGAAATTTCAGAATTTCAGAATACTTATTTCTTTTGTGTGCTGCACCTAGCTTTTCTGCATTGCAGCGCGCACAGCGGCGGCACATGCATGCAGTGCACATGCACATGCACATGCACTGTTGCAAGTGTGGTCTTCACTGCACACATATCAGCAGCCTGCTGTCAAATAACTTTCAGTCACGAGTTTGTCCCGAGTCCAAACCTTCAAGTTCAGACTCTGTTAAAACATGCAACAAGGGGGGGGTTGTAAACTTTGTATCCCTTATTATATTATTATTTAGTCTGAAAAAAAACCTTGAAAAAAAAAGGGATGATGCTCACACATGTGACTGCAGAGAGCAGGAATAATGCCCCTTGTGATGGATCTGCTGTACCCTGTATGCAAAATGATGCCCCGATGGGCAATTGCCATGCCTAGGGCCTCGGAGGCCCCGACAGTCAACTCGTGACCCAGGCCAGCCCAGGTCAACTCGTGACCCAGGCCAGCCCAGGTCAACTCGTGACCCAGGCCAGCCCAGGCCGACAGTTGACTCAACAGTCAACTCATGACCCAGGCCAGATCCAGGCCCAGATCCAAAAAGTCGAAGTCAAGATTCTGGCCGCTGATCGGGAATGATCTAACAGTTGTCCTCAGGTACCAGGTACCAGAAGATTCAGGCCTCATGGAGTCCAGACCGAAACTGGGACGAATTGGATTTGGGATGTCGACATTTGGACGATCCGGGGCCTCACCTGGGCAAAACTGGTCGTGGACAGCGCGGGTGAACACTATAAAGAGTTAACCTCGCCACTGCCTGGACATTCATTCAGTCTTGCGAGTTGTTTGCGGCTACGACGCTGCACGTGAGACTTGAGAGGGACTGCTGGCGCCAGGCTGCTGGATGGGGGCGGCCAGGCCGCAACCATAGATGACGGCTAGGGAGAGAGAGAGAGAGAGAGAGAGAGAGAGAGAGAGAGAGAGAGAGAGAGAAGAATGTGAGTTGTCGTGCAGACGTACCTGGTTTCTTCAGATGTGAAGCTGCTGCTCGCTGTTGGGGGATCGCCGATCTGCAAGAGGCTGCTTCTATATCGTCCACGTGTGGTGGTACACACAGATTGCTGACGTGGCATATTGAGTACAGATAGCTGACGTGTCACATTGAGTACAGATCGCTGACGTGGCACACTGCGTACAGATTGCTGACGAGGCAGAGGTGGGGAGCCTGAAGGAGAAGAGGGACTTGATCGCTGTCACACGTCTCCTTCCAACTGTCTATTCTCCCCGCCGCTCTTTTCTGGATACGGTGGACTTGAGTCTTTACATGTGATAACGCGGAAACATGTACGTCAATGACATCGAATTGACATCGAATTTGACATCGTGCAATCAGACTCGTTTTCAAACACACTTTTCACACATGTAAACATTAACGCAGCATACTGGCGACATGCGCCTAAACATCTCACTGTTCACATACACTGGATCACCCTGGATATCCCACACACATCACTCTAACACTCGAGCACACACACACACTCACTACTAACTACAG